CCGGGTATTGTCTGTTCATTGCCAGCATGTAAAAGTGAGAACTAACTGTTAAATATTATTGCATGTACTTTGCAGTGACCAGATGTTGGCTGACGGTGTTGTGGATGAGATTTTTGTGGAAGATGACGAGAATGGAAATACAACTCTATACCGCATGACCATTCAAGCAGTTGCTACTGATCTTGGATCTCCGCCACTAGAGGGAACTGCTGATGTGACAATTATCATATATGACTCACTTTGGGCTTCTCCGGAATTCAATCAAACTACATACCAGGATACAGTGATGGAAAACCTTCCAGGAGGTTAGTGTAATATATAGTGCACTATATAATGTAGCTTGACAGACGTGCTATTTGGAGGGGTAGGCAAGATTTTCTTAGGGCCGCCTTTATCCATAACTCTAATCCTAACCCTGCCCCTTCTTGTGCTGCCCTCGCACTTTTAATTTCCTAAGTCCGTCTTCAGGACATGTAAAGTTATCTGGAGGGGCATATACAATTGTGTTAGGGGCTGGAATTTTAGAATTAGGGTTATGTATGGGTATTGAATTCCGGGTGGTCAAAAAATGTTCATGATAATATAAAAATCCAATTAAGGCTTGATTTGGTTTTAAATTTTATTTCACTTAACTTTTGTCTTTTAGAATTTAATTTTTGTTGTTTTTTTAGATTCATACGTGACAACTGTATATGCCGCGATGATGCTGGATGATAACAAGATAAACGTTACGTACGATATGGTGGAAGAACACGATAAATTTCAAATCAATCATATCTCTGTAAGTATGCACAATGTCACAGTAATGCATTAATTGTGATGAAAAATGTTCAGAGCTTAGGTAGTTTTATCATTATATCCGACACTCGAAAAATAAAATTACTTGATGATTTCAAATGTGCTTTTGTGGCTGTGTATGTTTCAGCCAAGACTATAAGAAACTATTATTATCATAAAATAAATGCACCTAAGGGCATTGTTCTATTACGCACTTCACTTTTTTAAATTAATTCACAGGGTGTGATAACAACTAAGAAGCCACTTGACAGGGAAGATAGAGATATCTATGACATCACTGTCATAGCTATAGCTCGTATGGTTCCTAACCCACAGACATGTACCACTGTAAGTATGGTGCTTCTATGTTTTCATTTCTTACATTGTGCTTTTAATAGTCATAGCTATAGCTCGTATGGTTCCTAACCCACAGACATGTACCACTGTAAGCATGGCGCTTCTATGTTTTCATTTCTTACATTGTGCTTTTAATAGTCATAGCTATAGCTCGTATGGTTCCTAACCCACAGACATGTACCACTGTAAGCATGGCGCTTCTATGTTTTCATTTCTTACATTGTGCTTTTAATAGTCATAGCTATAGCTCGTATGGTTCCTAACCCACAGACATGTACCACTGTAAGCATGGTGCTTCTATGTTTTCATTTCTTACATTGTGCTTTTAATAGTCATAGCTATAGCTCGTATGGTTCCTAACCCACAGACATGTACCACTGTAAGCATGGCGCTTCTATGTTTTCATTTCTTACACTGTGCTTTTAATAGTCATAGCTATAGCTCGTATGGTTCCTAACCCACAGACATGTACCACTGTAAGCATGGTGCTTCTATGTTTTCATTTCTTACACTGTGCTTTTAATAATCATAGCTATAGCTCGTATGGTTCCTAACCCACAGACATGTACCACTGTAAGCATGGTGCTTCTATGTTTTCATTTCTTACATTGTGCTTTTAATAGTACCTGACTTAGCTATCATAGTGTTGTTTTTTCTCCCTCAAAGCACAAAGGACCAGCTTAACATTCATTCAATTTTTCATCTGCAATAAAAAAGTCTTAGCCAATCTTTCACCATGAATCCAGGAACTTTGTACATAATTAATTTATTTGATATTTCCAATAGGTTACCATAGTGATTGAAGATGAAAATGACAATGCTCCTCACTTCAACTCATCTGATTACTCTTTTGGTGTTTCTGAAGATGCTGTATTCGGTTTAACAATTGGGGATGTTGTTGCTACGGATATTGACCTGGCAGAAAATGCGAACATAGAGTACAGTATTATTGATGGGGATGATGGTTTGTCAAATTCACTTCTTTTTTTTTTTCGTTCCTTATATGTAACAAACATTTTGTGTTTGAATTTTTAAACATTGGACACTGAGGGCGTTGTTGGTGTTACAGTACAGTCTACAAGGTTTATTGGCATTGATGGCTATTTCTGTGTTGAAATGTAAGCAGGAGTTTTCTTCATGCGCATATGAGGGCGCTATACAATGTTATTCTAATTTTCGAAATCATGCCTATGTACTTTTAGTCAGTGTGTTGCAAATGAGGTGAACAAGGATTTTATCCTAATTGAGCTTCCACTAAGAATAAAATTGTTTAGTCCAGCTGACTTAGTTACTGTAAAATATTTTATTTTTGCTTGGAATTAATTTTCGTTATTTTCACTGAAGGAATGATTCAGTGAAAATAAAATCCATACAAAACACTCAAAAAGTCTTTTCATCAAAAATTAATTACAGCTAAAATAAAGTATTTTACAGTACTTACTAAGTTTATTACCAACTTTGTAATCATCTGACAAACAGATGTAGCAACTATATATATATATATATATATATATATATATATATATATATATATATATATATATGATAACAATGAT